CCATTGGGCCTCTTGAAATCAGGATAGTGGAAACAGGTACTTTTGACAAGCTCATGGACTATTGCTGTACTAGCTTAGGTGCTTCCATCAGCCAATACAAGACGCCAAGGTGCGTTAAATTTGCACCGCTCGTCGAACTATTAAATTCAAGGGTCGTGTCAAGCTACTTCAGTCCCGTGTGTCCTAAATGGGTTCCTGGAAGTAAGCAATGGAACAACACCAATTGAACTATCCGTGGATACTTACTTCACAGGCAGTGACAGTGGCAGAGGCAGAATTTTCATCAACAGGGTTACGTTCGTGATCTACTACTATATATTATATACCTAAATAATAGTTTGATTGCCGTTTTGTGCTACTTCGGTCCCATGTGTCCGAAATGGGTTCCTGGAAGCAAGCAATGTAATACATGAAATGAACTGTTGAAGATATTGGATGGTTTTTACATAACGTTTCTTAATTTATCATACTATATCATATAACGTTTCTTAATGTATTCTATGATATGCTTTACTTGAGTCGAAGATCTATATGTCAAAAACAACATCTATACCTTCATAAGGTAGAGATAAAGACTGCATATACACCATCCTCTCAAACCCCACATGTAGACGATAGGTTGTTACATGGTTAGTATGATTGTTAGTTTTGATGTGTGGGAATATTACTAGGTGAGATTGGATTAGAAGCAAAGTTATTCGGAATAAGGTAAGAGTGACCTTTGTGACAGACAAAATGAGGGAGATGAGACTGAGATGAAGAGGAAATTCACAGATGTTCCGGTAAGAAGGTGTGAGAGGATATGAGTAAAATTGCTTTTGTGACTTATAGGTCATGAATTTGGACCGTTAAAGCGATCACTAATACTTGTAAAGAATAGCAGAAGTAAAGTATAAATCGGAACACCTTTTGGTAGCCCAAGATCATTAACTAAGATCGGAAAATTCAACTAAAAGATGAGGAAGCTAGAACAGAGAAAAGATTTTGGAACAATTCTTGAATGCTTTGAAATGTCTTTGTTTTGAGTTGAATACAAATGTCTAATGCCACCGTATTTATAATCATGTAGGGATGTTTCTAGATACTAAGAATCTGGACTACAAATATCTAATTATCTCGTACATCTATAAGAAAATATCTAATTTCTACAAGATATTTATCCAAGTGACTACACGAGGTGTGCATGTTTTCCTCGTAGTACACGTTGCAAGAAAAAACAAAATAAAAAAAAATAAAGCAAAACCTCTTTCCCAACAGTTTAAAAAGAGAGTTTCTTGGTAAATCTTTTTGCTTATATCTTAGTTAAAAATAAAAATTACTACTAATTCTCAATTAAATTTTGTTGTTGACTTGAAATTTGCAGCATTATTTGAAGACCAGCGGTGAAATCTGTGTTTAGGTACATTGTTTTTTGTTTTTCCAAATTAATTTAACCAACTGATGGAATCTAATCCCTTTATGTCTTGTTATTTCTTTTTAGATATGCTTTGATATGAAGAAGGTATTAAAGTCTGTGTATAATCTATCCTCTTATTCTACTTGTGGAATTACACTGGCTATGTCATTTTTGTTGTTGTTGAATTATAAGCCTGTTTTTAATTGATTTTTTTTATTTTTTCTAATCGTTTTGTTTAAGCCAGTTTGGATATGCTAATTCTGTCTATCAAGACTTAGACAGATAGAAAGAGATCTTGAACTTCGCTTTTGTTTTTTTAATTTTTAGAGTGTGACTTATGGGTTTATCTTAACTAAGTAGCTTTCGCTCGGACCTTGTTTATTTTGAACACATTAAATCAAATGAGTTGTGATTAGAATTTTAACTAGAATCTAGCATACGAATTTGAAATCTTAGATTTGTCTATGTTGTTATCAGTATTGACTATTGAATCTATCTTAGTCAAGTTGCTAATTTAGCGGACCATAATTACTAGAACTTGAGATCGTCGCCCTTGACATGATGCAAAAGATATGTACATCATATGCATTTTTTGGTTTCCCATTCAGTGTCTGGTACTTGCATTGGACTATTTCGAGTTCTTACCAATTCACAGGAGCAATGAATTCATCGATTCTATCTCCATTCCCACACCACTTAATGAGAAAGACGAACAACAATTGGTCGATTTGGTTGATGTCAAGATTGGCCAGGAGTACGAGCTTGTTGTTACCACGTATTCTGGTAATTTTCATTGCCAAATGAAATGTTTTTTGACACAGTCTTTTTTTCCATATATCTTTCCAACATGTATGCTAATGCTTGGATGTATCCTTTCAGGACTGTATAGATAGAGAGTAGGTCATGTGCTTCGGGTTGCTGGATACAAGAACAACGCTCCTCAATTCAACTTTATACGCAGGGAAAATGTGATCTTGAGCATCGATTTAGATAAAACTAATGAATTCGAGCTACAAAATAGTGGGACTGTACATAATGCTTTCCTAGCTCATTACAGAGGTCTCATAAAGTTTTTTTAGGAAAAGATTTTGGTGCTCCGAGGCGCCAGATCAATGGGCTAATACACACAAAAACCAAGAAAGTCGCGTAATTTTTAAAAGTTGGCTCGTAAATGCAAAATAATGCCTGAAAAAAATGGTGGGACTTTACGTAATGCTTCTACAACTAATTGCGGAGGTCCTCATAATTTTTTTTAGAAATTGTTTTTGGGTGTTCTGAGGCGCTAGATCCATGGGCTAATTAATACACATGAAAAATCAAGAAAAACGCATAATTCCTAAAAGTTGGCTCATAAATGCAAAAATACGCTTGAAAAAAGTGGTCGAACTGTACGTAATGCTTCCCCAACTCATTACGAAGGTCCTCATAAAGTTTTTTTCAGAAAAAAAATGTGGGTGCTCTGAGGTGTTAGATCAATGAGCTTATACACACTAAAAACCAAAAGAATTGCGTAATTCTTAAAAGTTAACTCGTAAATACGAAAATATGCCTTAAAAATCTCCTATGGCTTAATAAATGAGTTCAAGCAATTTTTCAAATTATAAAGAGAATGATTTCTGTTTGAACTAATTAACTAACAAAAACAATCAACTTATTAGACAATATTAAAATTGTATAATATTATTTGCTGAAATTTATGCTACAAAAAAACTAAATGGGGGGTGGTGCACTTTGTTACATGTTGAACCAGAAGATCAGATCATTTTTCACCTAATACATATTTTCCTTCTTTTGTTTAATGGTGCACTTATATTATTATATTTTTTTTTTCCTTTAGCGGTGCACCTACTGTTTCATTCATCAATTTTAGTATTATTTGTTATTTATTTTTTGTCGGTATGGTATTATTTACTTCTTAATTTATTGTTTTGGACATGACTTTTTCGCTACAATATTTGTTTTATATAATTTTTTTGATATGCTTTTACTTGGGTGGAAGATAATCCACGCGTGGAAGATATGTTGTTGTTGCAGTATTGGAGTGACAGTAAAGTTGCTTCCGTGTAATCTACAGGTCATGAATTCAAACCGTAAAATCAATTATTAATACTCGCATTAGATTAGATTGTCTATGTTACATACAATCATTCCTCATATCTTACTAACTCAGAATGCTATATGCATCGAACTGTTTTTTTAATATTAATATATTGAAATTAAAGATAATTTTTTTAAAAAATCAATGAGATGTGGATGTTTTAGTCTTAGTCCACGTTGCAAGAAAAACATAATAATAACATCTTTACCAATCACTTCATTGCAAAGAAAAAAAAAGTTGTTTAATACAAAACCATTAGAGAGTTTCCTGGTAAATCTCTTTACTTAATTCTTAGTTAAAAACAAAAATTACTACTAATTCTCAATTAAATTTTGTTGTTAACTTGAAATCTACAGTATTATTTGAAGATCAGTGGTGAACTCTGTGTTTAGGTACATTATATTTATTATTTCTTCTAAGATTTGCTTTAGAATGCTTTATTTGATATTAAGAAGGTAGAATAAGGTTTGCGTCTATTCTACCACTTATTTTACTCGTGAAATTACATGGTATATATGTTATTGTTGAAATATAAGCCTGTTTTTAACTTTTTTTTTTCTTAAAAAAAATTAATTTATATTTGTGTTGTTCAGGCCAGTTTGGATCTGCTAACTCTGTCTATCAAAACTTGGACAGATAGAAAGAGATCTTGAATTTAGCTTTTATTTTATTATTTACTCCCGCTGTTCCATTTTATGTGACACCTATTTTTTTTAGTCCGTCTAAAAAAAAAACCATCTTAGTATAATTTGAAACAATTTAACTTTAAGATTCTTCTATTATCCTTAATAAAACAATCACACAAATATGGATCATCTTAGACCATAAATTTCAAGAGTTTTCCTTCTTTCCTTAAATAGTGGGACTGTACGTAATGTTTCCCCAACTCATTACCGAGGTCCTCATAAAGTTTTTTAGAAAATTCTTTTGGGTGTTCCGAGGTGCCTGATTCGTGGGCTAATACTAGAGGTGTGCATTTGGTTTTTCGGTTTGGATTTTTCGGTTTTTGGTTTTGTAAAAGTGTAACTCAATTCGATCCAAAATAAATTTGGTTTGGTTTGATTTTTTCTCTATTCGGTTCGGCTTTTTTCGGTTTGGTTATTCGGTTATGTCATTAATTAATAACATAACCAAAGTAATAATATTAAATCCTTTAAATATTCTTTCTAATATAAATCATAAGTAAAACTTAAAACACAATACTTATAAGTATACCTATTATAGATGTTCAAACATAAAATATAAATGTAATCATCATGAAAGGCAATAACCAAAAAGGGAAAAAAGTAGTTAATTCCAACTTAATTCTAAACCTATATATATATATATATATAATTTGGTTTTTTGGTTTTTCGGGTTTTATTTTTTAAAATCCGAAACCAAACCAAAAACATTAATTTATTAATCCAAAACCAATCCGAAAAACCAAAAAACCAATCCAAATAAAATAAATATCGTGTAATTCCTTAAAGTTGGCTCGTAAATGCAAAATTATGTCCGAATAAAATGGTGGGATTGTACGTAATGCTTCTCCAACTCATTACCGAGGTCCTCAAAATGTTTTTTCAGAAAAGAAAATTGGGTGCTTCTGAGGCGCTAGATCTATGGGCTAATACATACGAAAAACAAAGAAAGTTGCATAATTCTCAAAAATCTGCTCGTAAATGTGAAAATATGCCTGAAAAAAATGATGGGACTGTACGTAATGTTTTCTCAACTTATTACAGAGGTCCTCATAAAGTTTTTTAAGAAAACTTTTTGGAGTGTTCTGAGGTGCCAGATTCATGGACTAATACACACGAAAAATCAAGAAAAATGTGTAATTCCTAAAAGTTGGCTCGTAAATGCAAAAATACGCCTGAAAAAAGTGGTCGAACTATACGTAATGCTTCCCCAACTCATTACGGAGGTCCTCATAAAGTTTTTTCAGAAAAAATTTTTGGGTGCTCTGAGGCGCCAAATCAATGGACTTATACACACTAAAAACCAAAAAAATCGTATAATTTCTAAAAACTGGCTCGTAAATACGGAAATATGCCTTTAAAATCTCCTATGGCTTAATAAATGAGTTCAAGCAACTTTTCAAATTATAAAGAGAATGATTTTTGTTTGAACTAATTAACTAACAAAAATAATCAACTTATTAGATTATATTAAAACTAGTAAAATTATCCGCGCTTTGCGCGGGTATTTAATATCACAGAATTATAAAATCTACCAAATCATTAAAATTAAAACACTCTATTATCTTACATACAAGATTACGTAGTAACAAACATTAATAATGTAAAGGAAAATGAAAATTATTACATCTTATAATTTATTCTTAATAACATAAGCATAAATTAATGACTGTAAAAATACATATCATGATCTGTAACATAAGCAATGGTGTCAGTAAGCCACTCAACATGAGCAAAGTACACAAATATTTAATTGTGAAGAAGAAGAAGAGGTTCAAAATTTTCGTTGTTTTAAAATGAGAAGAAATCTCTCTATTTATAGACAACAAAGAGTAGTGTGAACAAATGTTTATGGTGCCTTATCAGCAAGGCTACAACTATTTGGAAAAGTTGCAACCCTTCAGAAAGGTCACAACCTTTCATAAAAGTCAAAACTTTTCATAAAAGTCGCTACTCTTCATTAAAGTCGCAACTCTTCATAAAAGTCACAACTTTTCATAAAAGTCGCAACTCTTCATTAAAGTCGCAACATTTCATAAAAGTCACAACTTTTCATAAAAGTCGCAACTCTTCATTAAAGTCACAACACTTCATAAAAGTCACAACTTTTCATGAAAAGGGAAGGCTAGTTTTGGAAAATAAATTAAAAGGGAATTCTGATTTGTGGTAGCGCCACATAGGCAGGCATAAGGTTCTCTTTTATATAAATATATGATTGTATAATATTATTTGTGAAATTTATGCTGAAGACTAAACGGTGATCGCCCACTTTGTTACATGTTGAACCAGAAGACAAGATCATTATTTTACATATTTTCCTTCTTTTGTTTAATGGTGCACTTACATAATTATATTTTTTTTTCCTTTAGCGGTGCACCTACTGTTTCTATCAATATTTTTTGTCGGTGTGGTATTATTTACTTCTTAATTTATTGTTCTGGACATAACTTTTTCGTTACTATATTTGTTTTACTTAATTTTTTTATATGCTTTTACTTGGGTGGAAGATAATCTCACGTGTGGAAGATATGTTGTTGTTGCAATATTGAAGTGACGGTAAAATCACCTTTGTATAATCTATAGATCATGAATTCGAATCAATTATTGATACTTACATTATATTAGATTGTACGTCTATGTTACTTACCATCATTCCTCGTATCTTATTAATACAAAATGCAATATGCATTAGACTGTTTTTTTAATATAATACATTGAAATTAAAGATAATTTTTTAATACAAAATGCAATATGCATTAGACTAAAAATAATACATTGAAATTAAAGATAATTTTTAAAAAAATCAATGAGATGTGGATGTTTTAGTCGTAGTCCACGTTGCAAGAAAAACTTATATAATAACATCTTCACCAACCACTTCATTGCAAAGAAGAAAAAAAAGTTGTTTAATGCAAAACCATTAGAGAGTTTCCTGCTAAATCTCTTTACTTATTTCTTAGTTAAACATAAAAATTACTACTAATCCTCAGTTTATTTTTGTTGTTAACTTGAAATCTACAGCATTATTTGAAGATCAGTGGTGAACTCTGTGTTTAGGTACATTATATTTATTATTTCTTCTTAGATCTGCTTTTGATATGCTTTATTTGATATGAACTCTGTGTTTAGGTACATTATATTTATTATTTCTTCTTAGATCTTCTTTTGATATGCTTTATTTGATATGAAGAAGGTAGAATAAGGTCTGCGTATATTCTATCTCTTATTCTACTCGTGAAATTACATGGTATATATGTTATTGTTGAAATATAAGCCTGTTTTTAACTTTTTTCTTCTTAAAAAAAATTATTTTATATTCGTGTTGTTCAAGCCAGTTTGGATCTGCTAACTCTGTCTATCAAGACTTGGACAGATAGAAAGAGATCTTGAATTTAGCTTTTATTTTATTATTTACTCTCACTGTCTCATTTTATGTGACACCTATCTTTTTTAGTCTGTCTCAAAAAAAAGTCATCTTAGTATAATTTGAAACAATTTAACTTTAAGATTCTTCTATTATGCTTAATAAAACAATCACACAAATATGGATTATCTTAGACCATAAATTTCAAGAGTTTTCCTTTTTTCCTTAAACATTGTGTCAAGTTAGATGGTGCCATATAAAATGAAACGGAGGGAGTAATTTTTAGAGTGTGACTTATGGGTTTATGTGAACTAGGTAGCTTTAGCTCGGACCTCGTATATGAGTTGAAAGTAAGCACAAGCAATTGATTGCGGACATAGTAAATCGAATGAGTTGTGATAAGAATCATGAACTAGAATCTAACACACACAATTCAAATTTTAGATTTGCCTCTGTTGTTATCGATATTGAATCTATCTTAGTTGAGTCGCTAATTTACTGGACCATGATATGGATATTCAATATTGAACCTAATTACTAGTACTTGAGATCGCCATCCTTGAGTTGATGCAAAAAATTTACTTGACATGATCTTTGATAGCAAGTTATCACAATGATCAGCTTAATCTCTTTTTGTGCACAAACTCTATTTTTTGGTTTCCTATCTGGTGTCTGGTACCTGTATTGGGGCCAGACTAAATTCGGGTTCACGTATAGAAGTCCGTAAGGTGCTAATGTGATCGATACAATTACAAGTCTTTATTCAATATAGAAGGAAGCATGACAGAGGAAAACAAGAAGAATCTTGAGTTTATTGAAGAGGTGACTAGTAATGTTGATGAGGTACAAGAGAGAGTTCTTCATGAAATCCTCATTCGAAATGCCAACGTTGAGTACTTGCAACGCCTTAATCTCAATGGTCATACTGATAGAGAAACATTCAAGAAAGTCGTGCCTATCATCACGTACGAAGATATTCAGTCCGATATCAACCGTATAGCTAATGGCGATAGATCTCCAATCCTATGCTCCCAGCCCATATCTGAATTCTTTACAAGGTCACTCCCTTTTTTACTTTTCAGATGAAAAATGACCATACTTATCTTAATAGATTAGTATTCCCTCTATCAGTTTTGATTTATATGATGGTATTTGACAGCTGATGTTTGATAAAAGTTACGAAGCATCTTGGAACTTGTTGTTTTAAACATGTCGTTGACATTTTGTCATTAAGAGTACAATGAGAAGTCTAAAGTGGAATTGTTTGTGAATATGGAAAGTTGTCATTCATTTTGTAACGGACTAATAAGGAAGAAGTATCACATAAAGTGAAACAACGGGAGTATCACATTATGGTTTTGTGGCTCTTGCATGATTCCTAATATTTGCATTTTAATGTGCAGTTCTGGGACGTCGGGAGGGGAGAGAAAATTGATACCAACAACAGAGGAAGAGAACGGGAGGAGACACCAACTTTACGGCCTTATGATGTCTGTGGTGAGCCAATTTTTTCCAGATTTGGGAAATGGCAAAGGAATGTATTTCATGTTCATAAAGTCTGAAGCCAAGACCCCCGGAGGATTATTAGCTCGTCCTATTTTAACTAGTGTCTACAAGAGTAGTCATTTCAAAAACAGCAATAGTCATGTGTCGCCCTATACGAGTCCAATTGAATCCATTCTCTGCCTAGACTCTTACCAAAGCATGTACTCCCAAATGCTTTGTGGCCTCTGCCAAAACAGAGAAGTCATCCGTGTTGGCTCTATTTTTGCATACGCCTTCATCCGTGCTATGCGATTCTTGGAGGATCACTGGTCTCTACTATGTAACGATATCCGAACAGGAACCATTAACAACAAAATTACTGATCCTTCAGTAAGAGAGGCTGTGATGAAAATCCTCAAACCAGACTCGGAGTTGGCTGATTTCATCGAGGCTGAATGCAGCAAGGATTCATGGGAAGGGATCGTCACTAGGCTGTGGCCTAATACCACATACGTGGACGTAGTCGTGACTGGAGCCATGTCTCAATATTTACCAATGCTCGATTATTACTGCAATAGCCTCCCTCTTGTCAGTATTGCGTATGCTTCCTCAGAATGTTTCTTTGGGATCAACTTGAACCCCCTTTGTAAGCCCAGTGAAGTATCTTACACACTCATTCCCATCGTAGCCTATTTCGAGTTCTTACCAATTCACAGGAGCAATGAAGTCATCGATTCTATCTCCATTCACACACCGTTTAATGAGAAAGACGAACAACAATTGGTCGATTTGGTTGATGTCAAGATTGGCCAGGAGTACGAGCTCGTTGTTACCACATATTCTGGTAATTTTCAATTGCCAAATGAAATGTTCTTTTTTATATGTCTGCTAATGTTTAGATTTTCTTGGATGTATCCTTTCAGGACTGTATAGATACAGAGTGGGTGATGTGCTTCGGGTTGCTGGATACAAGAACAACGCGCCTCAATTCAACTTTATACGCCGGGAAAATGTGATCTTGAGCATCGATTCTGATAAGACTAATGAAATTGAGCTACAAAATGCAGTGAAAAATGCAGCAAACAATCTGATGCCATTTGATGCACGTGTAATGGACTACACCAGCTATGTCGATACTGCTACTATTCCAGGTCATTATGTCCTGTTCTGGGAGCTAAACGTCAACGCCTCTTCCCCGATTCCTCCTTCAGTCCTTGAAGAGTGTTGCCTCGCCATTGAAGAATCTCTCAACAGCGTCTACCGCCAGGGTCGTACGTCTGACAAATCCATTGGGCCTCTTGAAATCAGGATAGTGGAAACAGGTACTTTTGACAAACTCATGGACTATTGTTGTACTAGCTTATTAGGGGCTTCCATTAACCAATACAAGACGCCACGGTGCGTTAAATTTGCACCACATGTTGAGCTATTGAATTCGAGGGTTGTGTCGAGCTACTTCAGTCCCGTGTGTCCGAAATGGGTTCCTGGAAGAAAGCAATGGAACAACACGAATTGAACTATCCATGGATACTTACTGTACATGCAGTTACAGTGGCAGAGGCAGAATTTTCACCAATAGGGTTACGCTCGATATATTACATACCTAAATAAAAGTTTGATCGTTGTGTTGAGCTACTTCGGTCCGTGTGTCCGAAATGGGTTCCTAGAAGCATGCAATGGAACAAAATCATGAATTGAAGTGTTGGTTGAAACTAAATGGTTGTTACATATCGTTTCATAATCTATCATATTGTGTTGTTTTGGTGAATTCAATTTCGGCATAGATTGTATCGTTTACGTTGTTAAAGAATGTCACACATGATGTATTATATTGTGTTGTTTTGGTGAATTCAATGTTGGCATAGATTGTATCGTTTACATCGTTAAAGAGTCGCACATTATTAATTTGAAGGACAGACCTACAAGAAAAATAATAGAAATAGGATATAAAGTAGAAAGATAGAAATAGGATATGAAGTAGAAAGATTATAAAAAGATAGGATAAAATAAGATCGTTAGACACTCGGCCAAGATAAATTGAGAAATAAAAAGTTAGTTAATAGCCAAGATAAATTGAGAAATAAAAAGTTAGTTAATAATAATATAGTCGCACCAAATCGATCATTACACAATTAGTTTGTTTTTTAAAAAAGCTTTTTTTCCCACTAAATAACTAAAATAATATTATTTTAATAGGAGGGTGGAGGGGGGGGGGGGGGGGTTGAGATGGAGCCAAATCTTCTGACTTCCACTAATATATTCCAAACATATAAACAATTATAAAAAAGTTGTAGATTTCCAATCAATTGATCTTTAAGTCCACACACAACTTTATTCTGTGAAAAATTCTATTGTTCCTTTATTTCTTTTATGCAAAAAAGGGAAAATAATTAAAGCTACTTTACATTATTATGCCAATCATCTCAAACTACAGTATTAGCTACAAACAACAAATTAAATTTCTTCTATATATAAACGACTAAAATAATTCACATCAATTCATAGTTCTTCAATTAGTTGTACAAGAAGATAGTATTATAATTTTGTTGGTGTGAATTTGCTCAAATCGTCGGTTTTAGTTTAAATAAATAAGAGAATTTCACATTATAATTAGCAGATAAATACAAAATCAACATAGAATCAACTAAGTTGTGATGAATTTTCTAATACTCTCCACAAAAGCGAAAGATTGCACTTTTATAATGGACAGATAAAACAACATAAAATTAATCAATTGACGATAAAATCTTTTAGTATTCTTTTTAACTTTTTTGAGACTGACGTGTACTTTTGTGATACTATAATATATATAACTATAATGGTCCTTAATATTGGCCAAAAGTTGCATCATTTTGCCTGAAATTGGTCCAATCACTTTAAAGTGTCATTCCTTTTCTTTAATTCTTTTTTCACCATTTACTTTAATTAATCTCCTCTCATCATCACCCTTTTTCAACCTTTTTTCTTAATATATATATATATATATATTAACAAATAAAAATGATTCGATAATGTAGAATTTATTCCTTATATTGATGGTGTAATATACAACTTAAACTAAAAAAAAAAATCTATGTTGTTTGCACTCTTCAAAAATGTTGTCACTATGTATTCGATCTAACATGAATATAACAACATTTTTGAAGAGTCCAAACAACGTACAAGAAAAAAATCACTATTTTTTTTTTAAAAAGCTTTTGAATCCGCAATTCGAGGAGTACCTCAACAAGTCCATTAATGCCATGAACATTGGATGTCAACTAATGCATCGCCAATTTCATATTCTGAATCCATCTAGTAAGTCAATTCATTTCCCTCCACGAACATTTCCGTTGAATTTTCCAACGGAAATATTCATTCGTCGCAACTATTTGCGACGGAATTAAATTATCTAAAAGTTGATCCAAAAGTAGGTGTCCATAAATCAACATTGGTCTCATGAGTTACTGGAAAAGTACTTGAAATTGGTACCAAACATAATCCTCGACTTCTCAAATCTTTATTTCTTCCTTCTCCAACATCTTCAGATTTAATATCACTCTGTAATAATTCGAAATATCTGATTAAAAATAAATAAAAATCCTATATATCGATTCAATTATCATAATCCTTAACGGTAATTAAAGATTTAAGTTATATATATATCAGGAACATATATAATGTATTTGAATTTTTTTTACATTATCGTAACGTTAATAATATATATTTATTTTAATTATCTTATAAATAATCTGATTAAGTATATATTTTTAAGTACCTGAAGATGTTGCATGGATGCTCCACTTTCCATATAAGGGGCGCTTAATGCCTGTAATTTTACATTAAAAAAAAATAGAGAGAAAGAAATTAACAAGAATACTCAATGATTATAATATAATTAAATAATTTTTTCAAAAAAAGATTTTTAGTTACTTCGATTTTTAGATGAGACAATCATATAGTTCAATGTAATATCATAGTATAAAATAGAGGGATTGGATTCGAGTATCATTGCCGCTCATGCATTACATAAAAAGAGAAAAATCACGTGTTTGGCTCATGTTTTGATATAATAATAAATAATTAAAATTAACTCTTACTAATAATTATGGCTTTTACATGAGGTGATCGCACATATTAAATTTACACTAATAAACTTAAAAAAATATATATACAGGGAGAAACTTGTGTGTTTGGAGTAGAGGAGTTTTTAAATTTATGTTTGATTGATCAAAATCTTTAAAAAGTATTTTTTATAGAAAAATAATTACCTTAAAAATATTTTTTCTAAATAATGTAGCGAAAATAAGTTCTACAAATAACATTTTACATTAATCATATTTTCTCTACTCTCCAACACACATAATATATCTTTACCTCCACCTACATTGCCCCCATCTCATCACTTAGTGGCAGAGTCAATAATTTGACGAAGAATGTTCAAATATTCTTTTCAATTATGTTAAGAGTGTGCAAAATCAAATATACACTCGTAATAATTAACATTTAATATTCGTACATGACCACTTCATTTCTAGTGAAGAGTGTGCACCAGACCATCCTTAGCCTAAGGTGGCTCCACCCATATATGCCATCACCCCTCACCCTACCCTCCGTCCTAAAATATTTGTCAAGATTATAAACAAATACTTTTAAGATAAACATATTTTATTTACGTACCAAATACAATAAAATAAATAAAAAATAAAAATATTTTTCGTTGTACCAAACACACCTTTAAAAGGAATAAATAAATAAATAATAGGCTCTTGAGAAACTTACACCAATTTGATCATGAAGGAACTTTATATACTCAATTGCTTCTGATAATACAGAAGCTGTATCTGTCTGGAAGAACAAAAAAAAATATTTATTAAAATGAAGTGCTTTTTTAAAAATATTATCATAGAAAACTGTTTGGACATAAAATTATTATACATTTCAGTATTTGAAAAACATTAAAAAGTTGATTTTATATTTTTTTCACTCCAAATCACTCATAAAAATTTAAAATCATCTCTAATTTGTATATGCATATCTAAACCTAACTCCAAATTTTAATTATTATGTTAAATTTATAAAAATATTAAATAATTTTTATGTCCAAACGTTCATTTAATACTAAGAAAATGAAAAATAAAATAAATCTCAGTGCTTTACCTTTCCAAAAGGTGAGACTAATTGTTGAAGTGCAGTGATTCTGTCTCCCATTTTCTCTTTTCTCACCTGAAAAATAAATTAATTTTTTTTAGAAAAATAACATATGGTACAATAAAAATAAAATTATTTTAAACCCTAACGCGCACTAATAATAATATGAAAATAATAATAAGTGACTTGTTATTGCAAGTTAAAATTTTTCAATAATATAAAATAAAAATTATATTGTCAGTGTATATACCTTAAAAGCCGGGGAAGGAGTTGGAGTTTCATTCCTTGGTCTTTTATTTGATGTTTCAGTACTGGTGGTTTTCTTTGATATAATTTTATTTATATCTCTAACCTCTCCCATATTCTGTTGCAAAATTAGTGTAAGAATAAAAATCATATTTCATGTATTAATTTAATCAACCATAAAAATAATAATCATTCCCTAAATAATCAAATTTAATGGTTATATACAACTATTAAATTTATAACAAGTTCAACTGAATCCTTTACTTTCAAGTCAAATAACTTATAATATCAAAAAAATAAAAATTAAAATATACGTAAATATATAATAGATCATACTTATGTATTCTGAATCCGTTAACTTTAGATTATGAAATTACTTAATGTTGAGACATAATTATGAATGTGTGTTATATATTTGTCAGTTTATTAGTAAGTGATATGATTTCACAATTCAACAAAATGATATCAGAACATATAAGTGATTCAATATCTAATAACTCCACCTAAAAATCTAAAAAAAATAATTAAAAAATTACATATTTAGTTCATGAAAAAGAATTAGACATATATCATGAAGGGGCGTCTTGAGATAAAGTATAATTAAGTAATTACAGTTATCATATAGGATTATGATGAGATATAATCAGAGTTCTCAGACTCGAACAATATGAATGAAAAAAAATTCTAATAAGGAGCATTTTATGCAATTACAATTATGCAGTGAATTCAAATTAGACGAAACTCCAAAACAGATACCGAACACAGCCAAAAAAATGTAACTACAATTACCTTTGCTTTCTCATCAATTGTTGTGTTATTGGGAAGTTGTGGAATATTATGCAAATTAGAAGGAAATAAACTTGATGGAACATCAGTCATGGAAGCTGCACTTGCATTCCAAAATGGAGTATTATTTGAGAAATGTAGCTGGCTGTGAGGTGGCGGCAACGGCGGTGCTGGTGGCGGAAGTGGAGGTTGTTCCGACGAAGGCGGTGTTCGGAGAAATTGAGGAAATTTAGACCAAGAATTCGTCGTAGACGAATGCAACACTTGATGATTATCAACTAATGAATGACTAAATATTGAATTATTTTGAGGTAATGAAAAACCCCTAATATTCATTTGTGATGAAGAGTCCTCATAATTCCTAAAAAGGAGAAAAAAAAAAAAAACTAGAAAATTATTGAAACATAATATAATTAAGTAATTAAAAATATATTTTTTATAATAATTTAAAATACTATTTAAATTAGACGATCACGCGTACTTACAATAAAGATTGGTGGTTCCAATCATGTGGTTGAGAAGTAAGGCCTAAACCCATAATTTGGAAATTTGAATCTTGAGAAGATAAAACGCCGCCAACTCCTCCTTCTCCTCCACCTCTATCATCATGACCAGAAGATTGAGACACCGACACAGAATCCAAGAAAGTCCTAGGTTTGATGTCCACATGATCAGTTTCTATTGGCCAATTACTACTATAGTTAGTAGTAGTGGCCGATGTGGAAGTTGTAGGTGTAATGGATGAACCACTACTATCGAACCTATTTCTTGATGATGTGGACGTATTATTTTCCCACCAATTCCCTCCCCCTAGTTGAAATTCTTCCGCCATAGCAAAAAGAATGTTTCCAATACTGATAGCAGCTCTCCTCCCCCTTTCCTCCGATCGAAAAATCCTCTTCGCGATTTTCAAGAAATGACAAAAGAACAATAAAAGAAGTGTAGGAAAGGAGAAAATTTCTTGTGTTACCTTTTTTTTTTCTTTCTTTGTGGTATTGAATCAAGATTCTTATTCTGGAACTCTTTCTTTGCTTTACACTTGTGGTTTTTGGTTATTTTTATATATTAAAAAAAAAAAAGTTGAAATGAATTTTTGTTTATCTTTTCAATTCATGTGGCTATTTATAGTATGAAATTATTTTGAATTTTTTTAAGACTTTGAGAAATGACCAAAATTTTGATTGACTTTTGATGAGTGATTAGACTTCTTTCTTAGGAAATAATTAATATTGTATTCCATCCTTAGCCATACATCAATTAATTACTTCTTTGTTTCTTTTTTCCTTTTTTGATGGTATTTACTATTATCTTTTCAAAAGTTAATATTCATTGCATGTAGTAGCCAGAATTTTCATTTAAAATATACAAAATATAAAAAAGAAAATATACCAAAAAAAGAAAGAAAATGTAATATGAAATTTAACCTTGTATATACATATAGAAAATATAATATGAAATTTAACCTTGTATATACATATATTTCTATGGCAAGATATGAACTTGTTGGCGTTTCTTTGCTTTGCATAATATATATAATTTTTATTTATAATATAAAATTTATAATCTTAAAAATAAGATGACTATATATTACAACGTATAAAAGTTGATAGAAGTCTAGATATTGGGTTCAACTGACTCTTGTAATGTTTATTCAAATAGTATAGTTATGTTAAATTCTTTTATTCAATATATACATATATTAACTTTGAAACGCAATTATTATTTATTAGTCACTGTTTTAAAATTTAAATTCCGACTCTACTTTATATATAATTGTATATGTTCAAAAGAAGTCTTGTCTTTTCCCATAGTTGGACTCTTTTGTTATTAATTTTCTCCAACATCAAGAATAATGTGGTATAGTTTCAAAAGCTAATAGTTTTATTCCTAGTTTTAACCTAACTAATATTTGTGATGGTGTGATAAGTATCACTTCTTTTTCTTAATCAGATACTTTAAATTTAAAATTGAGATATAAAGTCAATGTTAATAAGAAAATTTTACTTTCAAAGTAAAAATTTCCGATATAATTTCAAAATAAACATCGAACGCATCATAAAAATAATTACAATTCCAAATAGACTTTCCAACAGACCATTGATAATTGAAGACAAGAACTTACACGTCATATCCACAAAACATTTTGTCTGATATTACATAATATCAATGTCAAGTTACATATTATATTATAGCTGATAATTTATCTTATTTTTAAAATTATAGTAAGTATTCTTTTGATAATATCAATGTCAATATATATTAATATATATTGCAGAAAATACTTAAATAATTAGGTAATTTATTAGTTAATATACTATAACTAAATTCTTGATAAACAATAATTGGATTTCCCTTAAAATGATGACTAACTCGTTATTACAGATTAAAATTCACTATAAAACTATATATTATTGTCAATGTATATAATAGAAATTTAAATCTTAAACTATATTTAAAGTGGATCAAAAGGAATAAATAAAAGTAAGAAGTGTATAATTTGTCAAAAGGATCAATTTAAAACTCACCACTATATACTATGGCCAAAACTTTTTGTAAATTTTTAAATTTATCTTAATAACTATAAATTAACAAGTCAATAATTTATTCCTTTTTGAGGATAGTGGAAGAAGTCAATGCAAAATATCTTTTGCCACTAAATTTGAGTCCACAGAAGACATAATATTAGTAGTCCTCAAAGAAGCTGACAATGTATTGACATCAATAATATCAACGTGAAATCAGAATTTTTATTAAAAATATAAAAACAAATAGATGAAAAAAGTCAATAAGATTCAATTTGTACCATATTTGTAAAAAGAAAAAGAAAAAACTATTTAGTAGAAATTTTTAATCAGAGATGAAAAAAATTGTGATCAAGGAAACTATTACTTCCTCCGTTTGCTTTTATTTGTCACTTATTCCTAAAATAGATTTTTATTTTTAGACATATCAAGAAAAGACAATATTTTTTTTTCATTTTTACCCTCAGCATTAAATACTTATTTTCCAAATTATTTTCCAAGACATCATTTAATAGGGAATAGTATGAGTAAAATATCAATAATTATTTTTAATGGGTATATCAAGTCAAATTATGACAAGTTAAAATGAACGGATGGAGTAGAAATCAAACTCTTCAATAATAATTAGTAGGGTTACGAGACAAATTCAGGCTACGTCATATTGAGCTTCAAAAGTGCCTAAATGTAGAATGTGAACTGTGATATATCTTTAAAACACTTCTTTTTCTTTTCAATTTGATATGAGATTTGTCTAAGGTATTATGCATCCTAGCATCAGAAGTTTGTCAATCTAGAAGTTTATCAATCCTGTTTGATTCAAATATTGTCCGCTTTGAGCTTTAGGCAATACAGATTTATCCCTCAAAGCGTGAGAATTTGTGACATATTACCTTCTAAAACTTTTCATTTTCCTACTTTGTTGTAATTAATGTTAGATTTGTCTAAATTATTATGTACGTCAAATCTTCAGAAACTTATCAATCTAGAAGCCTGTTAATTCTGTTTGTTCCGTCCTCATCATTCATCAACTCACCCTTGGTAAAAAACAAAGTTACTACCTATTTCGTCATTAATACCTCATGTCTAATTTTTATTTTTTATTTTATTTTAATAATATTAGAATTACATATTTTGACTTTAGGATTTGAAATTTGCAAGTCAAAAGGATGGACCCCACACGGTAGCACGCTTATTGGGCCCCACACTGAAGACCTAAGAGTCAGAGCCTGATAGTGACTCTAACATTCTTCCTATAAAAAATTTTGGCGCGTATCGGACTTTTGATACATTTATCTGATACGTTCAAATATATATCTCAAAAAATTAGATGTATTTTGATCTAAATACACTTTATTCAAGTTAATTCACATGTATATGACTATCTTGCTCGCCTCTCTCCTATGTTGCTCGCTATTCCTCGCTCTCAACTCTCCCTCCCTCCATGCAGATGCATGTATCTTGATTCACATATATCTGTGAATCTCGTTTGTGTCCCTTTTGTCTCGCTCTCCTCCCTTCCTATTTTAGTGTATCTGAAAGCAAAAATACATGTATTTATGTGTATCTAACTTGAAATCTGGTATGAACTTATTAATTAGTGAGAGAATATATAATTATTTCAAATTATATAAAGAATTAATAAATATGATAGGAATATTTGTCTAATTAGATAGTTTTAATTTCCTTGTTTTTTTTGTGTCTTCAAATTATCTTTAACATGATCTAAAATTCAATAATTGTCTCAATATATGTTATGCACTTTTCTTCTTATGATAACAACTTCGAACATAAACCAATTTTATAGATATTTAAAATTTGTTGCAAACAGATCGATTCATACTATTTTCATAAATAAATTTACCGTCATATAGTTGACCGGCAATTATTAATTATAGGACCTCATTGTTTATTATCACATTCACGCAGCTCTTGATTTCAACGTACACCTTATAAGACCTAATATTTTTTTTCTTGTTTCTTTTAATAAAAAATTAAATTTAGGCCTAGAACGTAAATATATTCTTTAATTTGACTTCAACTGATATCTATGTTCTCAATTTTAGGTGTGTATAAGTATTAGACACTTAAACTATCCAAAAGTTAAGCAAGTAGACGCACCATTGTCACGTAGGATGTGCATATTTATTTGTTCAACTTTTTGAATAGTTTAAATGTCTACTTGTGCACAATCAAAATTGAAAGTCATACATGCCAGTCGACGTCAAGTTACCGAATATACTTATGTATTATGTCTTAAATTTATGCTGAGAATTTTACTTAAAAGAATAAATTGCATTTTATCATATATGATTCAATATTCAAAATTTAATCTCAGAGATCTGATTAAAAATAAATGAGTAGCTATTTGACTTTTGTTAAGTAAAAGGAAGGCCAAGATATTTTCAAACCATTAAGTACTTCAAAATTGATTTGACAATATCTACTATAGTGGAGAGAGTGGAGACTCTTATTTTATCAATTAAATTTATTAAAATTGAATTTTGCAAATAATGTTTTTTTCCAAAAAAGTTAAGAGAGAATATTATACCTTTTTTATGTTTAGTGCGAAAGTGCGTAAAGTAAGCTATTTTTTGAATTATAAAGAATTTGATAAGAATAAGAGTCTCCATTTAAAAAAATAGATGCAAATTGAACTAGCAAAGAAGTAATATGTCCAATTGAATATCTAGGAAAAAATAGAATATAATTTGAGGGAAAGACGGAGAATTCTTTTGAATTACTCGTTGTAGCGGAGTGTGTTACTTACCTTATTGTTCATGTTATAAATTCCGCTTATTATGAATAATACTTGTATTTTTATGTGACCTGATAGCGTAATAATAATTATATTATAAGTTTATGTATAAAAGAAAACTATACATATATCTCAAGGGTACTTTAGACATCCTAATTGATTGTTTTTTTGTCAAGTTAGAAAATAATTTTCTCTCAAAATTCTATTTATTTGTCAATCAATATTCATATTCATGCTTAATTTGTGTAGAAGAAAAGAAAATTGTGTAATATGTCAAGAAATTAATGATAAGAAAATTGGTGGAAAGAAATTTTTGGACTTAGAACATGTGTGGCCCAAAAAGATTTCTAAAATACTTCAAGAATTTTAGCTTTCACCTATGACAAAGACAACCATTTATAGATGGTTGGGTTGTCTAATATTTGTAAAATTAGTCGGTGCGAATTCAGACATAAAATCTTTTAAAATTTTTGAATAAATTTCTCATACTTAAAAATACATTAAAAAATTTATAAGTCATGATAGTTGATATTAAAAAATTAAAATACTATTTATAAACAAAAAGAAGAGACTTCTTCTTCTCTTCTTTTTTTCCAAGAAATGATATAGTATCATATAAAATAGAAGATAAGGAATTATAACACTCTTTGGTCACCAATATGAGTTCTGGTAAGATGATTAAGATCCCTCTATTTTTAATCGTAGATATCGTCTTAGGTTCGAACCCTTGCGAATGGAAAAACTCCTTTTAAAAGTGTTGCCCCTGAAAAAAGCTTTACATATGTGAATC